TTTCACATGTGAAATCTCTGTAAATTCGAATTTAATTACTTTGATTTACCAATTGGCTGTATACCATATTTATTGTGTATTAATATATTTAGTTAGTTATATGTTTATTAATTGAACTATTCTTTCTATTATCCTTTTTAATGAATATCCATTTATTATGATGTATAATTATACTACATTCTTTTCCAGTTTCATGTGGTTATGTTACGCAACTTTTATTGCACTTTGCTTGCCTTATTCGTTTGCATAGATTATATCCCCATTTGACTGATTTATAATTATATGTTCTTATTGTTCATTTATAAATCAAAGACACTAGCGAAGATGACAGAAAGAAAATCACCTTTCATTTGCTATAAATTGATTATATCTTATTATACATGATTTATTTGCTTGATAGGTGCCTATGTTTGTTCCAGTCACATTTGTAGTCATCACGTTATTACTGGTTGCCATGTCGTTTTATTCTTCACCAAGAGAGTGTGTGATTGGTTTTCTGATCCTCATTTCCGGTATACCCGTTTATTTAGTTGGGGTACGTTGGAAAAATAAACCGCATTATATTGCACAAGGAATGGGTAAGTGATTATATTTATTTATTTCACGAATAAACGCTACAAAATATATTAATATACCGTATACAATGAAAAGACTCAAAGATGCCAAACTTATTAAATATTCTGTACCTTATTCTCGCAGTAAAAACAGCAAAAATACAAGATTTATCTTAGATACCTATTTGCTTAAAAAATAACATAACATACTTTTTTTTTCTTACAGAGAACATGACCATTTTCTTACAAAAACTTTTCCTGGTGGTTCAACAAGAAACAAAAACATACTAATGTGGAATCGATACTACAAGATACTAGACTTGCCTTGGATTTTTTTATATACTATGAATCATTCGTTTGCATGTTAATAAATGTGCGAGTGCGAGCGAGGCCAGTTTTACACAGGTTGCTGCGAACATTGAAATTATGAGGTGTTTTATAGATCACACGCCACTGATATAAAAGCAGTATTCGGAACATTTCTTAAGTAATGTAAAAAAACCGTATGCAAATTAAATGATGACAAATGAAAGAAAATGCATGATAATATATATACTGAATGACGTGAACCAACTGCCAATTATTATTAAATATAATTAATTACATTTTAATGAATTGTATTTTATTGAGTTATATAGATGTTATATGGTATATTTAGGAGGTGTTGTAAATAGTAAACTCAGATATAAAAAAAAAACAGTGGCAAGGGCAAAAGAAACTAGGAAGTTTAGATTTATGAGTTGTTTGAAATAGAGACCCAATTTAATAATTTGGTTAATTTTGTAATACCGATATTTGAGTATAGATTTCACCAAAAAAGGACACAGCTAGTCTTGTTTTTTAACAGGTTTTTGCAGTTGAACGAAACATGTTTTTTCAATTCTGCCGATAGATTAACTTAACGCACACGTCTAAGTACTAAATCCAATTCCAATTTAAACTCAAATGTCTACTTCTTATGATGTTGGTATTGTAAATGTAACTCATAGGCATTTTTAATGTATTTAAGTTAGTCATACTGGCATAGCTTTGTGCAGTAATGCCTTAAAAATACACAGTTTCATATAATTCTTTTCGCCTATAATATAATAAACGATAATTGTTTACATCTCAAAACATAGTTTAAACATAATTACAATATTAATAACCTCCATTGTTATCGACCTTTTATATACTGTATTATTTTCTAGCCTATATTATAAAATGAACACTTTGTTTTTGTTTTATACATATGTATATAATTATATATATATATACATATATATATAAAAGTAAAATAAATCAAATATAAATAAATAGATCAAACATAAAGCGGGAAAACGGAATCAACTATTTGTATCTTATTTTAATGTTATTGCATTGTCTTTTTCAAAGGTAGAAGCGTTTGGCGTAACGGTTGTGCTTCGCACTGTCGGCCTCCTGGTTGGGTGTTCGAACCCTCGCTTTGCAAGTCACTATTACCTATATCTAAACATGTCATTCCCTATCCAGGAGTATTAATCTGTACCACCACCTTGAGAATGTATAAAACATGCTAGCTAATGAGAGGAGATTGGCGATTTCCGTATGTCAT